TGAGGATAACTGGCGGTGCATAGGGGGGGGGGGGGGGGGGGGGGGGAGCCGAGGAGGAGCGAGCTCCGCACCCAGGCGGAGACCTAGGCTGCATCGGGATGGAGCGTGGGCTGCACAACCGTTGCACCGAGGAGCTGCACAGCACCTACCCCTCGGATTTTCTCCTGCAGCAGCAATTCCCAAACTCTACACACTTTTTAGAACTCCATATTTGGCTTTTCTACGCATATAAATGAAAACAGCAATGATCGGGTTTGTGTGTTCTGTGAACATAAAAGACAATGGAGAAATTAGCAATGAACCTGCAACGTCTTCTCTTGTTCTTAAAGCTACTAGAGCTCCAAGGAGCTCACAGGTGATATGGTTTAAGCTATATGTTTATGTGACCACAGCACTGATATGATCTCAATGCCAGAGAGTTACTCCGCAAGCAAACCAGCCATTTCAAGCTTTTTTGGGGGAACATCCCCCCCCACCACCTTTATGGGATCTTGACTGCTCAAGCTACAATCTCCCTTTCAGATTTTAATTCAGAGACTTTCCCCTCCGGAGGGTTTTGAACTAGCGGTGACAATCCAGGAGAGGCTGGACGGCTTCTCTTGGACTTCAGGGAAGAGGAGCAGGATGACGGCGCCTGGCAGAGCCTACCCAGAACGGGGCAGCCAGAGGCCCCCGGTTGTACTCGATTACAAGGGCAAGATGAGCCCTCGGCAGAGCAAAAGGGCGGGTGACAAAAAACTCAAGAGAGGGAAAACTCACACGAAATCACTCCAACTTTCTCAAAACAGGCTGTCGCTTGCAGATGCATCCAAAATGCCTGAGTAAAGACAGCGTTCCCCCTTGGAGGGGACGGTCATCCCGAGCTGCCTGCTTGCCCGCAGTAAGGGGTGAGCTTACAACCAAGGGGCCGCGTTTCGGCTACGGCGAGGAGCGGTCGGTGCTTTCGGCAGCAAAGCCAGGGTGTCCCTAAAGGCAGCGCAGCAGCCAGGGGATGCGAAGGGCCTCAGGGGTGGGAGCCGGTGCGTGGCTGGGGAGATGGGGCTGCCCTCGTATCGACGGGTACAGCTGCGGTTATCTCAGCTGCACCGTCGCTCCCCACGCACCAGCTGCCAATTACGCGCACGGAGGATTGCTGCTCCGGGCCCCAGCAGGGATTTGGGGAGGTCTGTAAATTAGCCAAGCTTTCCTCGGCACAGACCATCTGAACGCGGCTCCTAGATTCGCCTCGGGACAGAAAGGCGCATCGAGAAATTGCTGGGCCCCAGTGTTAGAACGGGAAGAGCCGCAGCCCTGCACCCGCTGCCGAAATCCCAAGGGTCAGAGGCAGAGATGAAGCTGTCCTCGCCGCACCGGCCGCTGCCTGTGCCACACCTGAGCCATGCAAAGAGGTCGAGGTCTGGTGGATCAGAGCCAGTGATGTATCATGAAAGGCAAAGAAAGAAGGTGGTAACTGCTCATTAGGCAGCGGGCGAGAAACAGCTGGACACAAGGTCCCCAAAGGGTTAAACTGATCTGAGAGCAGCAAAAAACCCCTTTAATACTTTCTTTAGCATACTGTTTTATGAGGCAATTAAATGCCGGTGAAGAGTTTACAAGGGCCAGTTTCAAACATTTAATTTCGGGAGTTATTAAAAGATCTTTGAAGCGTTTTGTTGATACAATATTTTACAGGACTGCATAAACCGGACCCCGCTCCGCACCTGCCTCTCTTAAACTGCTGCTCCTCGGGGACACCCGGCGTGCCCTCCCTCGCCATGCGCAGCCGGGACATTTCTGAAGCCGGGGACGAGGTCCAGCAGCCTTAGAAAAAGGTCTGTGGCTCAGGTCCACGGAAAGGGGCATGCCTCTCGAGAGCAAAGACAAGGGACTCCTCTCTTTCGCAGCGGAGAGCGCGTGGGACCGGCTGAGGAGCGAAGGGCTGCCTGTCCCTGCTCTCCCCCCCCCGGTACCCGATGCTCCTCCATCCAGATAACACAGCACGCGCCCACCCCGGCTGGAAAGCTGCCTGGGCGGCTGCATGCCGGGGGAAGCACGGGGTCTGCAGGCAGAATCCCCAGCTCGATGTGTATTTTCCCCCCCCACAGAAAACCAGCCTCCCCCAGTTTGAGACCGGAGCTGACGCGGGGCTGTTCAGAGGGAGCGGGCGCCTTCCTTCCGAAGCCCAGGGGCTCAGGACGCCCGCGCGCTTCTGCCAGACAAGAGAATGACATTTGTTATCTCCCGAAGCCAGGAGAGACGCTCATGAATCACTGCGGCTGTACAAGGGTCCTCAGGAGAAACGTCCATCCTGTTTGAAAAACAGCCCTTCCAAAGAGCTTTAATTACCAGTATACACTCAGGAAAATGGTTGTTACTCTCCTTTCAGATAAAATTACTCTGGGTAAAAGCCGCGCTTGACTTCACAGCTAGCAATTTTTGAAATAAATGACTATTTTTTTATCCAGTATTTCGCAATTTAAAGAAAACGCAGTCTTGCAAGCTGTCACACGCTCATTGGGGCTGTGCTGCTGCTTGGCATTTTTCTTAAAACCAGGCTTTTACAATCGGGTAACTACAGGAGAGAGTCATCTTATTCCGTTGGAAGGTAAACTCCAGTACTCAGCTGCAGAAAGAAGCTTGCACCATATACACTCACCAAGAGCGTGCGTAGAAAAAAACCCTCAATTCAAGTTTTTTTAAATCTCCTGCTTTGGGGGTTTGAACCCTGGAGACTCACGCTAGAAAATACATGATTTTCAACTGCAGCGTGCGATTGTGACCGTATATGAACACACTTGATGCCCACAGAGTTTGTGTTTGAGCTTTTTTTCTGTCCTACAATATTTTTATCTCCTGCCACAAGGTTCTTCAAAATTTATTTAGAAGGGGCATTGCAGCAAGCAGTGGATTCCTTCATCATGCAGTACACAGATGTTCTAGTACTTCAGACAACAGTGTATAGAAAGTGAAACTGGATTTTAATCGAGCAAACCAATCAAGATCTGAAGGGTCCTGCTACATCCGTATTTGCTTGAAAAAAAATGAACGGGCAAAGATCTTCATTTAGGCATAGTATGGGTCCAGAGCAAAGTTTCGGGTCACAGATGCTATGACCTCACCCAAATTTCAGGCGAGGCGCGGTTTTCCAGCCCTCTTCATGCAACACTCCGCATTTTCACGCAGAGCAATGCATCCTGTACCACACTCTGCCCTGCCAGTGACGTATTCATACGGTTTAAAGGCTTATCAGAACGAAGTGAGGGTGGCTTTAGCCTTTGAGAGCAACACTCAACCCTGCCACTGGGGCTCCCAATGCACGCCCACGGATGATCTTAAGAAGGGCAGAAAGCCGGGTAATCTATGTTGATTATGGCAGTGAAAATGAGTGAGAGCAATACATTGTGGCAGATGAAAATTACCCAGAAAAATATGAAGCAGCACGCGTACAGAAAACCACAGTCCTGAGCTGAGCGGTGCTGCTCAGAGAGAGCTCTCTGACACGACGAATGAGTGGTTCTCAGTGGTTCTGTAAAGCATCGAGCCGGTGCCCCACAGCGGTGAAGTCAAAAGACAAAGCGAAGGCGAACAGGCAGCAACTGTTCCCTCTCCCTTCTGATTTGAGGCTAGGGATATCAGCTGAAGTCAGCAGCTGGCAGATTCAGTACAAACAAAGGGACACGGTTCTCCAGACACCACGTAATTAAGATGCAGACCTCTGCTGCCGGATCCCAGGAGTCATCGGACAAAACCACACAAAGGAAAACAAATCTACTGAGGACCATTAAGTACCGGGGCATCACCTGTATCTCAGGAAGCCCCTAACCCACGACGCCGGTGCCAGGAGATTGCTCCAGGAGAGCAGTGCTACGTGCTTGCCTTGCTCCTTTCCTGCTGCCCTTTGCGAACGGTCTCGTCAGAAACGGAGCTGGAAGATCAGGACCTTTGATTCGACACCTTGTACTCTTTAAGTCCTTACTGCACGCCTGTGTAACTCCTGTCTGCAGTGAAATCCTGACTCAGACCTTTCCCACGGTGTCTCGCAAACTATCACTCGTCTTCGCTCAAACTAATTTTTAAGCTGTTGTTTTAAGATCAATACTTGAGCTGTCAGCTCCTGGGCTTTAGGGACTGCGCTGCCATCCGCGATACCCAGAGGAAGACGTGTCGGACTACGCAGGCGAGCTTAAGAGGGCAGAGTTCAGATGCCTTGAGGTATGGTACCTCCCCAGGGAACACGGCACATA